ATTTAGAGAGGTTACTAAGTGAAAAGTTGTTAAGGTGGGCCCTCATCCAATAAAAATGGCGTGTTTATAAGAGGAGGAAATTAAGACACAGACACGTAGAAGGAAGACCTGTGAAGACACACGAAGATGACAGCCATCTACAAACCAAAGAGAGAGGCCACAGAAAACACCAGCCCTGCCGACACCTTGATTTTGGACTTTTAGCCTCTAGAATTGTGAGAAAATAAAGTTCTGTCATTTAAGCTACATTTTATCACGCTTTGTTATAGATGCCCCAGCAAACGAATACAATTCTACATTTAAAAAGCGGACAGTAACAATCAAAAACTATTTTTCTGTTTTCCACTCGAGGGCTCACATACCCACATCCGTATTTTTAGGGGACATTCATCAGAATTTAGTAATTATATCTTTGTTGTGTCGGTGTTGCTAATGTTTTTTACTTTCCGAATGTTTATGTTCAACTTCTTTTCACTAATTCATTGAAAAGGTTAAAACTAGTCAGATATATATATGTATGCATCTACAGTATTAATATGTGTGAGGATATCTGTCCGTATACCTGTCTCATGCAACATGTCGCTTTGACCGGGAAAAGATGGGATGGGGGGTGGGGGATGCAGGAAAGATCTAAGACTTCTGAAGGGACATCTGCAGAAGACACAGGACAAAGATGCCGGGGAAGCGAATGGAGAAATGCACAGTCTGACCATCTCAACAGAAGGACATTTCTCAGATCTGGGAGGCCGCGACATTTCAGCCACTTTAATTCTCTTCCTCGGCGTTGACATGTTTCCATGTGATTCTAATGTTGAAAAGGGTTCTGGAGAACTCACACGTCGCGAGCTCCTCGCTGCCTTCGAACTCGTTGTAGATCATCCCAGGTCTCGGAGCACTAACACGAGGGGGAAAAGTAAGAGAAATAGGATAATAAATTCATCAACGTGATGATTCAGGTGAAGTAGAATTATTCATTGTCTCTCTCTCTTTTTTTTCTTTTCTCAAGAAACAACTTGTGATTTTCCAGAAATAAAACACGGAAACATATATGATGAAAACAGATACACACAAGTCTTCCCGGTTGCTATGGGAAAATATTTCTACTACTCCTGTGATTGGAGCTATGTGTCTGCTTCGCAGTCACTCTGGACTCAAATAACCTGTACAGAGCAAGGGTGGTCACCGACACCAAAGTGCCTCAGTGAGTAGAGACCCCGATCCCTCCCTGGACGAATTCTTTGGTGTGTTAGTATGTGAGGGGGGGTCACTGGAGGGGTCGCAGAATCTACACAATGATACCGACAGCCAGCAATGGTAAGATACGGCATGCCTCAGAAATTAAATCAGGAGAAATTAAGATACGAACTTTGTGGAGTGTCGAAATTATTTAATTTTCAATACTAATGGTCAACCATTTTCACTGCTAATATTTAATTTCGACATACTCACTCGGTAATTGAATGAACACAGATTTTCTCAGGAGAGGTCATTCGTATGTGGAATTTCGGTTCAAAATATACTGCAGCATTGGATGTTCGAGAAGCGTTTTATCTATTTTCCTTCTGTGTTTTTCATTAGTCGCATCTTTGTTCTCTAAAAAATTACATCTGTCTCCCTCTCTCGGTGAGGACAGAAAAGCGAAGAAGACAGGATTAGGAAAGAGAAAAACGAAAGATGCCGACCAAGGAGACGAAAGCCAGCTCCTCCTCTAGGAAGTAATTTAGACAATCGAATGGAGAAAAAAGTAGCGTGACTCTTTTTTGGTATCCGAAGGAACTTGACAAGTGTCAAATGTTTGAAATATACACTTAGCGATTAACGACATGCTAACTGTTTAACGTGCATGAACCCAATGCCAGATGTTTATTAGTCATTCTTTGGGTTTTCAGGACAGTGCTTTTTCCCTTGGGTGGAAAATGGCCATTCTGCGTCTTCGGGACAAACATACCAGGAAGGTGACACTGTAGAAATTGTCTGTCATCAGGGCTACAGCCTCCCAAATAATCAGAGCACCATCACCTGTGCAGAAAGTGGCTGGTCCAGCCCTCCCGAATGCAATTATGTCCGTAAGTAAAATGTTCCCTCTGTTCCTCTACTCTTTTTTATTTTGCGAAAAGAGCAGCATTAAATATATGCGGTATTACTGTTGTTGCTATAGTACCTTTTTAGTTGTAGGGTTCCAATTCTGTCTAAGTAGTTATGTAAATCTCTGGATAATCCCTAGAATATTATTTTGTCTACTTCCACAGATTAAACGTAGGCAAAATTAGAAAGCATTCTCCAGGAACACAGCGAAAATCTTTGAAAGACATTTACATGTTTAAGTAACATGAACTGAATGTTTATAGTGAAATTATGCAAAGTCAGCTGACGACACCACGAGGATAAAATTAAATTTAACATAGAGCGATACTTAAAATATCACATGTGCAACATCGTGCCGCCAGCAAACCTGTTTACTTGGCATCTACCTTTTTGGGCAAAGATTAACTGTGTATCATCTAAAGACAAAAACAAAGGATCGCTAACATCCCCATTGTCAAAATTTTGTACTTCATACCCCCCCCTTTTTTTTTTTGATAATATGGAAATTTGATATTTGATAATAAGGGAAACTCTTCTTGAAGAAACCATATGAAAACTGAGGACATTTTGGAGCTAAAGTTGAGCTGGAGCTTCTTAGTCTGGGAACCTAAGAGGATGACGCGTAAAGCACAGTCGAAGGCCGTACAGGGACAGGCTGTATAGGACAGCTCTGTACCTTCCCGATTGAGCGGCGGGTGTGGTTAGCATTTACTCGTCTACTCAATGTTTCCTACAGTGATGTTAAATCACATTTATTGTGCACCTTTTAGATGACAGTGTGATAACATGCTGGGTGGTCTGAGGCATTTTTTCTAGACGACTTAGGTGTTGCTGGGGGAAACAAAAGAGTTTTCCATGGTTTCAGGCTGCGTTTTTTCCTAGGCCTTTGGCAAGACGGAGAGCGGGTTCTGCGTGGGGCTTTTGTGCGTGTGAATCTCACGGTTCTCCCCAGTGGGAAGGTTCTTATGCCAAGACTGGGAATCGTAAGAAGCCAAAGGAGATCCAAGCCGCTCACAGTCGCGCTGACCCTTCATTTCTTGCTCCTCCAGCCAGTGTGGCTCCTCTGCACAGTCAGTCTTGTTAGACTTGTGTATGGAGTTTGTCCGGAAGCTGTATTTAGGAGAGGGAGGAGGAAGTACTGCTTCTACTCCCTCTTTCTGAAACAGGAAGGGAATATCCCTTTTTTACCTTCTGCCAATTTGTTTCTTTAATTTTTCAAGGAGTTGGTGTTTTTTTAAAGTAAAAATCTAAAAAACGATCTTAATGGCATCCCAAAGGACACAGCAGGAAGCTGTAGGAGACAACAAGGGCACTCCTATGACAATTAACTAGGATTCTGCCTGCAGGGGCCGTGACAAAAACCATTTTTATACTGGAATATGGCAAAGCAGACATATTTATTTCCGTTTTATGTGTGCTTCAACGTGACATCCGTGGAGGGGTACGAAATGTTGTAATTCTCACTTCGTACGATTAGAATTTCTCCGACGAATCGTTTCCTTTTTCAGACTCACACGAAGCTTCATATTCCATAGTTTGCTGGTTTTGTTCTTCGCTCTGTTTTCTGCGTGATGGTTTGGTCTTTTAATAAATGAAATAATATTTGTAGATCCTGAAGGAAAATGCGGGCCTCCGCCATCTATTGACAATGGCGACATCACCACATTCTCATTAGATTTGTACCCTCCGGGGTCGTCCGTTGAGTACCAGTGCCAGTCCTTCTATGAGCTTCGGGGACACAGGACAATCACGTGTATACATGGACAGTGGTCAAAACCACCAAAGTGCTTAGGTAAGGACGTTAATATTTCATGGGTCCTGGGAAAATCAATGTAATGAGTATGATGTTTTGCTGTTCATAATAGAATTTTCATGGATTAACAACCAACCACTCTGTTGAACGCTTGACTAGCAAATAGTAATATACGAGGAGATGTCATTTGAAATATTCTTAAGCAACAACAGCAACAAAAGATTCTTTCATGAAAGCTCTTCAGTTGATCATTGACATTAGAAATCTTTATCACACATTAAACATAGTTCCTCATTTTTACATCATGAAGAGTGTACAATGATTTAAATGTACACGATGGATTATCACCGAGTTGGTTTGGAGTACGTTCTGAGACTGAATTTTTGGACACATAGAAGATTCTATGTGAAAGTGTGCAATTCTGTGGAAAATATTTGTATACGAGTTAATGTTTTATGTTCATTTTTTTTTACCTTCAGATCCATGTGTAATATCAGAAGAAATAATGGAAACACATAAGATACAGTTAAGATGGGCAAATGAGAAAAAGATTTATTCTAGAACAGGTGATATTGTTGAATTTGTTTGTAAAGCTGGATATTATGAAATGTCACCTCATCATACATTTCGAGTCACCTGTCACGAAGGGAAAATGGAGTATCCCACTTGTGTGCAAAAGAGGTAATTAAAATGCAGTCATTAATTAAAGTAGGCACATTTTAAAAAATTTTTTTGTTATTAATCCAATTCATCTCAACTTTTTTTTAAGCGTTGTTTAACTCGTTTTTGTTCAATAAATCAGATTTGTGTTAATATCAAATGTGTTAATATCAAGATTTGTGTTAATATCAGGATGATATTATGATAATATGAGAGAAAAACGCCTCTCTATGAAAAGCACTGCATTAAAACTCGGCAAAATGAAGTGCTGTATGCCTTCTTCATAGAACATCGCAGGCCGGAAATTCGAGGCCATCACTTCCGGGCCTGCCTCCGGCCACCATTCTCTCTCAAAGCTTTCTTCATCACTTCCATGGCTTTCTGAGATACTATTTTGGAGGAAACAGAAAAGATTTACTGATTCTTGTCTTTAAAATAATATCGCTTCACAAACGTATAAATACCGAACTAGTCACAGTGCACGCTTTTGACAATATGCCAATAACTATTAGTTCTCAATTTTAGCTTACTTATCTATAAAGAGAAAAAGACTCACAGAAAGATGACATGTACAATGTCCTACAAGATCCTAACACATTTAATCATTTAAGCAAATCACACAGGAATTGAATGCAGTTAAGTTCATAATGGTTATTTATTGACATAAGATGATATTCTAATATCAAGAATAAACACACTTTGAGCTCTGATGTTTACAGAACCAAAACTGGCAGCATATTTACAGTGACTATAGCTGAGTTTATTATAATAGAGATAAGGGTGGACATTGGACATTTAACCTCTTTATACTTTACTGTCTGATTCCGCCCTGAACATGTATCAACTTTTAATCACAAGAATCTATTATTTTAAAAATAAATACAGCTCAAAAATGCATGCCGGGGACTATAAAGCCCTCGTTGGTAATTATATTGATGCTTGCTGGCATTTTCCTGCACCTGGTGGTAAGGCAATGCTTTGGTAAGTATTCAACAAGGTTCTGAAAAATAGTTTTTATGATCGTACATTTTATCAACCCGAATCAGCTAAAATCACTCTTGGCCAGACACATTTTAAAGTTACTTTGAAAAATTTGAGGGGGGATGTGTAGGAACCCTACTGATGGGGGCGGGTTGAAGAGCTCACCCACGGGCAGAAGGTAAGTCGAGGCTTCGTCTCTCCTCACTACTGACCACGCTCTGTGTCCCCCCATCTCCAGCCGGAACATCTCGTTGCCGGAACACTTTGCAGTGAGGGCGTGCACTTCCATCAGAGATGCACAGATGATGAAGGATAGTCAGATACTATCCCTTAACAGTTACGTTTTCTCACTTTTGATGAGGAAAATACTTTGTGTGGTATTCCCTTGACATTAAATGTGCAGCAACCATTTATTAATATTATCGTTATGAAATGTGATAAGTTACTAACCCCCAATGAGCTCTGTACAGCAACCAGACGGAAAGTTCTATACAGACGATAAACCCACAACACACTTTCCCTCCTAACCATCCAACATATAGAACAGTCGAGATGATAGTTTAATGCACACCGGTGTAGCCACGAATAAGGTTCAACCACTGTTAACGTTTTGCCATATTTGTTGTCTATACTGATTGGTCTCTGTATAAATTAATCTTTTGTATGAGTCTATGTTTCAAGGGAAGGAGGTAAACCATTAAAAATATCTGCAGACATGATTA